ATTGATTTCTCTGGGAAAACTAGAGTCTTTGCAGGATTATATGCATCCTTTCTAGTGAAAGTCATAAAAAAGATTACAATTTTATCACTTTTTAATATCTTTTCTGTTCATCCACCGAATTTCGATTTTCTCCATTTATTCGTCGAAGGCTTCGGTATTTGAATGTATATGCGGTTGTCCGTTTTCAGGCTCTTTCGCTGCGTCAGTATTAAAAATAGAAGTAGTCGATTTGGTGAGTTAATAAGGGTTCATAAAATGGTCTAATTGAATGCAGATATAATTTGATGAAGACAACTCAACTTATTATGTTGAGAATTCGAATTTGGCCACGGAACAAAGTGCAAAGAAATCGTTGTTAAATAAATATACACAATGACGCATTGAATTTTTATTACGTTCATTAAACTCGTTTGGGTATCAGCATCTTATTTACAGCAGTTACACAACAGCTCTTCCAAATAGTCAAAACTCGTGAAGAGGAATGGGAAAACTGCACTTCTACCTATTAGTTGAAATAGACGAAAGAAAAAGTCAACGAATTCATCAATTTATGATCATTAGGTCCTTAAGTTATTCATACGAACGTTGTTTTGGCATGTCCCAAAAGAATTCACCCAGCGATTCAGGCTACTGCTAAGTCAATTTAGCCCGACTTAAAAACCTTAGGATGTCATGATTGACTGGCCATTTCATTTGGGATGTAGATGGAATAAGATTATAGCTTCAAAGCTTCTTAAAATGCCTTACAAATATACGGCACTTATTAAAGACCACTGAATGTTAACTTTAAAGCTTACAAATTAATTGTAACGCATAATGTATCTGGGCAAGTCCAGCGTAGCGCAGTTACGGCAATTAATAGATTATCACAAATACCATGATTATTAAGTAATAAAGTCAAAACCTATTTAGAAATATTTCAGTGACATGCTTCTTTTACCGATATTTATTTAACAACATACTCACCAGGTGAGCTGTGACTCCAGTGGGATTATCTGGAGAGGTAGAAGTGAAACATATGAACTGTTTCGGCGTCTAACGTGACTGCTAAACGACCATTTGCATCCATTGTTGACCTTCAAAACTGACGCAATCGGCATCATCACAGAATAATTACAGAAACATATTGAAGCCAATTCAACCCAGACTTGTAGTGACCTACTTTTCATGATGAGAACGCGAATGGTATGATGGAAACAATTCTTATTATAACCAATTGTACTAGTGATTTTTTTATTGTACTTGTTTTTTTAACTGCACCAAAAGCACTTTTCGTTCCGTTGTCCATATTGCTTGTACGATCGAGCTTACGCCCCGCCGTTTTGCCTGTAATCTTTGGCATGTCTCGGTATTCTTCCGATACCACGAGATCGCCAATAAATATATCTTATATGGACTATTATAAGCATTCTGGTTTTGGATTACTGAGGGATCCAAGTCGATATCTGGCATGTGGTCTTATTGTAATGGTGATCATAGTCAATCGCGACTCGACACCCTTCTACATCTGGTGAGTCAAATTTTCGAACGCTTTTCAACTTCTGGCAAACCTTCCGAAGAAGATTACTACGATGAGTCTATTATTTATATATCCACATTTTTTTGGCACGTATTCGTATTGATATTATATTGATAGACACTGAAGTACATGACGCTCGAACATTGATATTGATGCTAGTCGACCAACGGCTAATAGGGATAAGGATAACTGTATTCACACCCGCCTCAGTTTTCGAGAATGATCCAATGCAGCAGAACCCTAGGTCCCCCGAACCAGGCCACGCTCTCGTTAAGCCGTAACAACTCGCCCTAAGTGGGCATCTTCCAAGCCACTCCAGAAGGCGGTTTCGGGACGAGTTCTGGTTGGTGCTAGTTCCACTGTACCTTCGGGGCCAGGGCCCGCCATTGTCGAACTCCCTGCTCACTCAGGGCGGGAAACTCCCGAGCCGGCAAGTAAACGCGGCCGCAATCGCCGGCCCTTCACCGCAGGTTGACCGTTTATTTTACATGCACGACTATCGCACTAACGATAGGTTCCTAATGGATACAGGTGCCCAAGTTTCTGTTGTACCTATTGGTAACAGTAAGTCTAAGGCTACGATGCTTCGACTACGCGATGCGAATGGCTCAGTCATTCCTACTTATGGTACACGACAACTTACGGTCAACCGACGACAGTATCTGTGGACGTTCATCATTGTCAATGTTCCCACAGCCATACTCGGTATCTTGTCGTTCCTACTTACCTATTATAATGTGTAGTTAGGGTTTTGCATGCAAACAACGTTTGTTTTAGATGTTATTGCAGCAATACGGAGATGCAGATCGACATTGTTAGTTGTACGTAGGTATATGGGTTCTATGTAAAGTAGATTGTAAAGAAAGGCATATTAGTTGACGTGTACTATGGAAGTAAATTTATATATATCCAAGCACTTCGTTGATTTCATGATGCTTATAAAAATAGGTCACTAGGAGCAGTGCATACACTTATATTTAAATATATACATTTAATGTTTTGGTAGTAATTTATTTCTATATAACAATATGTCACAGAGGGCACGTCAGTTTAAAGGCAAGATCAACATTTTACAAATATTGCAGAATTTAAAGTAATAAGTTGCTCAATCGACTTGATATGCAAGATGCGCTGGTTGTAGAAAAAACGGGAGGTAAATTTGCGTACATAAGAATATGAATGTTATAAGTAACAATAATATGTAGTCGGTATACGCTATTTTACAGGCATGATCTATACTTTACTTGAGTTTGCAGATAAGATATCACCTAAGGTTATTAGACGAGACTTTAAAAACTGCCATAACCAACAATAAAAAGTACAAGTATTTATAAATAGTTGTCTATGCAAGATAATCAATGTCTGTTGGTCAGATACCATCATCAACAACTTTGTAAGAGAATAAACCGAAGTGCAGCTGAAGAGGAAATTGAGAAAAGATGTTGGAAGTGGATAGGACTGCATCATGAGGCTAGCGCTAACTTAGAATCTTGAAGGGAAATGGAAAAGAAGAAGACCAAAGAACACATGGTGTCGAGAATTCGAAGCGGACACCAAAAGGATGAATAGCAAATGGAAACATTTGGAAGGAACTACCCGGTATAGAATCTGATGAAGAATCCTGGTGGGTGCCGTATGCTCCTTCACGAAGAGTAACGGGCGTAAGTAATCAAGGTTAATAAATAGATAAAGTCAGCAAACATTTACGATAGAATATTAATGTACATAAACCAACAAGTTAACACATGGTTTTGCGTGTTGTTATTATACTATGAGTTCAGAGTTGTTATAATCCCTTCAAAATCGCACATTGTACAAACTGCAACCTTGAAAAACGCATATCTGAAATAATCGACCAGAGAAGAGTCGAGTGGTGAACCCAGTTTGTCCGTAGCAGTAATTATCAAATCTAAATTCAATATTGAAGACACATTGTAAGAGTAATTCCTTCCGATAATATTTTATGCTCTAACTTTTGCCCTGTTAATTATCACGTGATAAAATTGCCAATTCAAATACCTATTTATATTACCTTGTTCTTTTGCTAAAGCGATGATACGTCTAAACAGCAGTAACAACCTTCTGTCAACTCTGAATGTTTATTGGCCCTTCTCGCCTTGCCATGTCCGCTGAGTTCAGAAAGCAATCTCAACCTCGACTGCATTTCAGACATATGTAGTTTATATACAAGCAAACCGGACAGCATCATACCATAAAATAAATAATTACACAAGATCAAGCTAAAAGTGGCTGTGAGAGTTTGTAACTAATAGACTGGGAATAACTTAATAATTGTAAATCGTATAATGATAGCCAATAGGTCGATTGAAAGCTTACGGTAAGAAATATAAATGTATATAATCTAGCCACTTAACAGTTATACAATACGAATATATGCACAATAACAGTCTACAAATGGTTCTCTGAAGTTACACATAGTTTCATCTTCTTCGAATACAACATTTTGGAACACCAATATCTAGGTTCTTGATTTCAGTATCATGTGCACCACTTCACAGTGTTTTGAAAAATCTTCAGAGTAGATGGTCACTAGTATTTGTGCTATGCATATGATTATAGAAAGCTTGGTTCAGAAAACGTGAATTCTTGTCATACAAATTTCACTGGAGGTCTCAAGTTGACTTTCATTTGCTTGTGCAAGAAAATTAGGTTTGATACTCTGACCACATTACTAGTAGTGCGCTATTCTCTCAATCATTGATTTTATTAACGAAAACTTAGTAATAAGAAGTCTAAAAGTCAATCTGTCATCACAACGTAGGTAGAGATTACAATTATACAGCTTTAAACGCCAAATGTTTCAACAATTAGAATGTAAATTTTAGCTCATATCCACTGGCTATTAAGCACTAGTGAATAAGTTCATTGATATGATAAATAGTAACCAAGATAATATATGTTGTTAGTCGATTATATTTAGAAGAATTTTGAAGACAAACTGATTTACTGAGCCTATTATACAAAGTTATCTAAAGAAAATTAACTTAAATGAGTATAACAAGTAATCTTTTGGAAAGTGAATGTGATTAAAACCTCATAGCTTATAATTTAGCCTGATTTTAATTGTTTAAAAGAAACGAACACAAGAATTGAATACTAAGTAGCAAAATGGCAATCCATGCAGTTAAATGCAAAAATCCGTTGACCAGTCCGTTTTTTTTTGCATACTACTTATGATCAAGTTGTAGTAAGCCTTAGATACAATCTCTTATGAGTATCGATCTCAAAAGTTCATAATAAGTATAGGTGCTTTTGCAAGTAATTCTACAAATATGGATAGATTGTTGGAAGTTTTAGAAATACGTTTCGTGCCAGTTGACACTCGTTACATTGCCTGTAACCTTGGGGGAACTGGTACTCTCCATGAGATTTAAACCTTACTACTGAATTATACATGCTGCGATTGATCCACCTGGGAAATGCAAATAAGTAAAAACCTTTAATTTGTAATTAAATTAAGCTTTACTCGAAACACAGAATGGTTAACAGTAACAGTTCAGTATTCAAACATTATCAAAAGGAATAACAAAGAGATAGAGACAAGAAGAAAAGTAGAAGCATTGAATATGACAACGAAAAACGGGGTAAATTTTCGTATTATTGATAGTATCGTAAGACAAAAAAATAAATGAATCATTTATGAAAAGACAACACACTATGTACGGTAAGTAAAACAGGTAGAAATGGACATAACAAATACTAAAACAGACCCACCGAAATAAACTCAACTATGGTTAATATCAAATTTATGTTAACAGAAATAAAAGCTATGTAAAGAAATCAAGTGTTAAAAAAGAGTAAGTTTTATAGATTGACAAGAAATTTAAATGATACTAACAATGGTAAATCAAAATGGTACCCTCTCTCTCTCTCTCTCTCTATATATATATATATATATATATAGACAAAAAATGAATATCAGAAGCGTAGCGTATGGTGCTTAATAATTCTTCTCCCTTATAAGTAAATTTTATTAATGAACAGAAATCTAAGTAGTAACAACAACATCAAATAAATACTTAATAATTTAAGCGTAATGAATAGACCAGAAATGAAATGATTAAGATAATGGAAATCTGTTGTTATGAAAAAGTAGACCAATATGAAGAGATAGACTGTAACAAGGATGATAATAATAGCAATAAAAGTTGTAATAAAAGAGTATTAGCAATCATTAACTTGAAAATAAAATTGAAAAAAAAAACTGTTAGGGAAAAATATGTCCCTATTAATTATGACCAAATTGCTTTAATAGTCATTATCGTCATCGTCATTAAAATTACGCTACTATTTTTGGTAAGAAAAAAAGTTTTGAGAATATGACATAAGTTAGGATGCAGCAGAAAGGGCAGAAAATTTAGCAACTAGATTTCGTGTAATACCCGGAGTTGGAAATTCACTCGTTTTACCATTTGTGCTATGGTACTGACCAATTTTAGCGCATTCAGTAGACTCGGAGGAACAGCTAAAAGGAAGTAAAAGATTTTTTGAAAAACAAGAAAACATATGAACTACTTGACTTACCTGTGTTCTCTTAAACATATAATTGCTGGTGTGCGGTGAAAAAAAATATACGAGAAGGATTATTCATATGAATGAAAGAATTATTATGAGGTGAGGGAGGGATTTAACCATTAACAAAATGATTTCGAGTGCTGATAGACGTATGAGGGCAGTTTTCACTTCTCGGTTTCCTTTACTTGAACCCACAATGGAATGGGATTTCTTCTTGAGGGACTAGAAAAAGAAACTCAATCAGTAGTGAGACCTGTGAGCGTGACTGAAGAGTCAAAGAGGTAACTGCTTGAGGTCAGTCGCACACAACCTTTTTATGGGAATTTTTCGGTGTTAGCTCCGCATTTCAAAGGGCCTTGTCTGTGAAGACGAAACCCGTGGGGTAAGGTGAAATGCGACATTTTTAATATCGACCTTTTTATAACCCCCTCCTTCCATTGTGAGAAGGCGGCATCGCTGCAGATGTTGGATGTTTGGAGAAGGGAAGCATCCCACTGTTGTCACAAACCTCTACACTCACCAGTACGATTTTACCGTGTGACCGAAAGTAACGGTAAATGATATAACTCACTAGGCTAATATTGTACGACCTGACGTTACAATAATATGACTTTAAATTTTGACACTTAAAAAATGTCAATACATGCAAAAATACGTGACAAGTTGATGTATATGTCTGAGACAGACTGCTGGTGTGACAGCTACTGTGATAATATTCAATTTTTCAAACTGAAATAGATTGAACCGGATTCGAACTTGTAACTAACTATTAAGAGTCTAGAAAAAGACTTAGTGTGAGAATAAAGACAAGTGTTATATTAAATAATTTGAATTTCAGAGAAAAATGTTACATATGTACATCAACACTAGCGTATGATATCATTCAACAAAGAATACAAAACACCACATAGTTTACACTGAAATTCATACTGTTAACATCAACAATGGAAGAGAATTTAGAGACTGGCTACAAATGTTGTTTTCGTTTTAGGATATTTTAAACCGGAATTCTATTACGGCGAAAATTACAAAATAATTTAATAGGCGAGAATTGACACAAGATATGTTAATCTTTTCAACATTAATCTCGACAAATTTCCATTATAACTACTTAAATAGTACCACTACATGATGAAAATAATGACAAAAATTTCCTTTTTTTAAAAAAAACTTATAACACAAATCAAGCACTTATAGCCTTCCCATATTATACAACGTTAACAGCGATTTTTCTAAAACCCTATGATAGAAAAACCTCTATGATGTATGGCTACTACTATCCTTCTTGCCCAAGCAGATAATTGACATGGGCTGAAGCTGCAGTAAGCGGGGAAGTATTTGGCATTATCTGACGACACAAGGGAGATTCTTGCAAACAAAGTTTTCAGTTATCACGTCTTGTCATCAAGTAGTGGCTAATATGATTTTTGCACAGACGTTTGCCTGGGAGAATAGCTTGATCAAAATAAACGGTGTGAGACTACTTATTTGGATGAATTTGCAAACACATAACTCATTCCTCAATGGTAAACATTTGTCTGAGATTTATTAAGTTTCTGTATACAAAACCATACGCATTAATGGAGCTGCATAGTTTTACAAAAAGATGGAGCACAATAAATGAAAACGACCCTACACACTATAAATAGACTACATTATTTAAACAATGAATTGTCTGATAGTACCGGTCGAATAGTGTTGTGCTACACTATGAAGTGAACTGAAGTTAATGTATCTTGTTTGGGAAATTTTAGTGTCCAAAGTTCGACCGCCGCGTGTTTGTGTGCAGCTGAGAAAACCCAAACTACAACAGAACAACTGTCCGATGCTTCTTAGTTTTCAGTAATTCATCGTTCACTATCAAGATTTCATGGAGAGAACTACATTCAATTGATTTCTGCTAACCTATCAAAAAATAAAATGTCTCAAATCAAGGTTTTTTTCCTGAAAAAAATCAGCAATTATTTTTATTCATTCTTAGATCAAAATTCAACTTACTAAGCTTCATCTTCAGGTTTATGACTGAAATTTTGTTTTAATTCACTGACTAATTGTTTCGGTTTTTGTTCGACAGGTTTCCTAGCTGATGGTTTGGCTAGAATAAATAAATATGAAAAATTATAATTTTTATTGTTTTGCATAGAATCCTTTAATTCATGATAACGATATCTTTAAACATAGTATGCACATAGTATAGCGAAAATGAAACAGCATGTAAATATATCAATCGATATAGATGCCCAGGTGCACACCGTAAATTACTCATAATATCCTGATTATCTAGTTGGGTACTATGGATTTTATTTCATCAATTTGTCAGTTAAAAGTCAAATCATTATCAAATGCTCAATTAAGAATTTCAGTTCTATACGAGTAAACGAGATAAGAACTAAGAAATTTTTTCGATACAGTGAACCAAATAGAGAAAATAAACGTGATAAACGGACGTGGTTGGTTGAGAAATAACTTTAATTTACACAAAGTTAGACACAAATAATCGTCTTGATTTCCTAAGGATGTTTATATATATATCACACTCTTTCTTTTTTTCTTCTAAGTAGCCAGGCTTGTGAACGGAAATTGTTCTCGGTTCATCAAGCGTCACAACAGGTCCACTAAAACTATGGTTTTTCACTTACGCATTGATTATTATTTTACAATTCTAGACCATTACCGATGTTTAAAACTAGTAAGTTTACTATGATAAATAAACAATTCTCAGTTTCATAAACACGACCATGATTTAAATACCTGTTTGACCAAAACAACTATGAAATGGACTTTTTAAATTAATGTCTATACGTTTTAAGCAAAGATGGATAGTGGTTAGTAGTGGAATCCAGTACACGCGTTTCACCCTATTTGGGACTCTTCAGCTGAATGTACCTGCATTCCAGAGTTGATGTTCACTCCGGGACTCAAACCCAGTACCGTTCGCTTCGAAGGCCATCACGTTATTCATTTGGCTACTGAGTCCTGATAGCCACCTGCTTGTGTAATTGAATGAAGTTTAAATTCACTTGATGTTGTTTGCTTGTATCTTTGCTTAAAAAGAGCTAGTTACTTAAGGCAATATCGAGGCAATCCGCAATCCAACAAGAGACTGATCGATTACGATCCTAAACAACGATGGAAAGATGCAAGCAAACAACACCAAGTGAATTTAGTGTTTACACAGTAACGTTTTTTAAACACAAGTCAATAGAGAAGGGACATTTTCCCTGTAACTTTCGTAATCGTCACGGCCAAGAAATAGTGAATAAACTTGGATTATCAAAACACAACAGTATCATTTGAATAGATCTATAACATAACGATAATCAACGATTCAAGATACTGAAAAAGACCTATGGTTACAAAAACTAAATTATAATCATTAATGTGTTATACGATTATGGGAGGAATGCATTTCTGTTGACTTGAACATTTATTACTTTTGTGTCACAATTAGGAAATTGTTTGCATTTATTTATGGCATATATCAAACAAGGTGTCGTGTGATCATTTCAGATATGTTTATTTGTCTGCATATACAGAGTTTATCGAAAATAATAAACTGAGTCAGCTTCACGTGTAGATAAAACCCAATTATTAAAACAAAGGGCACATGATCCAATATTTACAAAATAAAAGTAGCAGAAATGTATAAACAAATATCAAAGAAAATGGTATAACTTACGTTCCACAGGAATGAATTTCCGTTGGTTCAAGACATGAGGATTCCCGTTTATTTCAGACGTAACTCGACCAACAGTCTAAATTTAAGGAAGACTTTTATTTATGTATCTTCGAGTATGAAACAAAGTTAAGGAACAGCGCCTTATATGCAATTTTTTCGAATTACAAACATGAAGCTAAATGAATGTAGGACCCAGCGATAAGAACAGTCAGACATCAAGTCAAGAAAATCATTCAGTGTCACTGTTGTAAGACTATGGTCCTAGTTATCAAGCATTATAAAACCTATGAAGTAAGATTTGACTGATTTTCATCGTCAGTCGATACAGACTGGATATCTGGTAAATCTGCAACTGAGACGCCTATTGTTAACTTTCTAGGCGCTTCCTAAAAACTTAAACAACTTCTACATATTAACTTGAACAACAGAGGAACGGCGCGAAACGTAAAGGCTTTATTCTCAGGTTAGTTTGTGTATACAAAACTAAGGGTATATATGGTTGTATATGACCTTGGTATTCCAGGACTTTCTAGAAACATACTGAATACACTATCGGTATGGGTAATTATTCAATCAAAAAGTGACATGTGACCCCTCATTTTCTAGATGTTTTAGAATGGCCTTTATTCAGTGCCTACTGGATAAAACAGTTCCTAGGGTTTTATGAACTTATAGTGACTGGCAAAAGATATTGTTGGAATCACCAACATCTTCATTAAAAAACATAGCTTATTTCTTGGGTTTACTTTTAGCCTGATGACTAGTTCCATTTTCTTCCGTGTGTTTCTTACCCAGCCCTTTCTTCGTTTTTGATAGGTCTTGGTGATTGAACGCTATACTCGGATCCTAAGCTAGTCTCGTAACCCCCAAGCTAGAACTACACAGCGACTTCAACACGAGAGAAAAGGCACAAAATATGCGAGAAGCACTTTACTCCAAAGGTTCATCTATGTACAGAAAATATGGGGTTTTTATAGTATTTTAGAAGTCCTTGGGTTTTCCTGAAAATTCTAGATTACTACTAAACATAGTAGCAGTGTAGTAATCAGCCAATCAGAACCTCTACATGTGACTTTTCATTTTCGCAATATTTCTAGCAAAACTTCTAATCAAACGCTGATTGGAAAAAAATGCTTCTTAATGTTTCCTGAGCTTGTCATGTGTATTGCGGGAAACTTTCAGGCTCGATTCAACATTTTTAACCTTTTGTTGTCATTCGAAGTTCCCATCTTGTATGTGTCCGTAAGTATATCCAGTGAAAGATTTTCCTGACCGATTTCCATCATCTTTTAGAAAAATCTAGTTACCACAAACAAGTGAAGGACTTCTAGGACAAACAGTAGACACATTAGGCTATAAATCATAGAATCTAATCAAATCATACACCATATCACGTTTTTATGGATCACAAAAGTTCATAAACCTGATAAACCACTAAGAGTCAGTAGATTCCACAAACACTCCAACATATACCCCATCTAGATATCTAAGCAGTATACTGAGACCACTTCACAGGAAATTACACAATACCATTAAAAATTCTAATGATTTCAAATAAAAAATTTCGAATCTGTCAGTCAAAAAAACGAAATCTGTTTCGTAAACAGGTAAAAAACGAAAAAAACTTGCAAGTTATGATGTTGTATATTCATGCACTAGTATTCTTATTAATAAATGCCTAGATTTTATTAATGGTTTACTAGAGAATCATGATATTAATCTACTTAGCAGATTCTAATTAATCATTAGCTTAATAATGACATTTCTTCAATTCTGAATTTGACCTGATTTACATCAATAGGGACTTTGTATAAACAAATTAAAGGAGGCTACGTAGAATCATCTGTATCACCGGTTGTAGCCAATCTATATAGGACATGGAGTTCTATATAGAATCGCATATTTTTCCAAGTGCCATTAGAACTATGCATTTGGCTCAGATATGAAGATGATGCTTTCATCATCACGAAAAAGTTTCTCCTGGGGAACTTTTATATTCTGAAAAGTACTTTTTCTGCTCACATAAAATTCACTTTCCAAAATGAACCCAGTGAACTACTATTTTTGAAGTGTTTAATTAAAAGAAATTCAAATGGATTTCTCAATCAAACCATCTATCATAAGCACACACACTCAGTACAAAAACGTTTTCGGCTCCAAATGTAGACAGACAAGCGTCAAACATCGTGACATCAGATAAAGAGAAACAAAAGGAACAGAAAAATATAATCAACATCTTACAGTTTATTAACTTTTTCATGAATATTATTAAACCTACACTAAAACGAAATATTATTTTGTCAATTATTAAATAAAGTGAATGAACTATCACAAATTATTACACTGTAGTTCTAAGATACTGTCATGGCACAACAGAGAAGCTGTAATGAATCCTTAGATGACACAGAATTCAAGCATTCTATAAAATAATGAACACCCTTCGAAATGCTATGGTTCAAGTAGAAGATGAAATCCTTATTAATTCTACAGAGAATTATGCCTATCGACTAGGATATGTAGATTGTGATGCATTATATATAGAAGCTTTCTCGCGAAATCACGACTCGGGACAAAGGACATCAACCATTAAGTCGATATTATTAATATCAAAATAATTTAGAAAGAATTTCCCAATTATAAAGAAAGGCGAGTAGTTGAAGCTTTTCAGATTTTGTTAAACCCTACCGCATTGAACAAAAAGGAAGGCCTAAAGATTCATCCGCCATGGGTCACTTGGACAAAATATTTATAGAATCGATCTTACTAACATCTCACAACACTGACAAACAGACAAGTGTTCACAATCTTACTCTTCAACATTACAAATGCACTATTTTTACATCCACATGCAATTACACATAGCTATATCTCACACAATAAAAATTAACTTGACTGAAATGACATGATATGATCAAACCGACTTTAATGACGATTTTACCCAAAGAATTCTGCTTTGTTTACTTTGTACTAATTGACCCTATGTTGATTCGATTCGTTTATTTGTCTTTATTCTCTGAACAACTGGTTTACTATATTGGAAAACGTAAGAATTCTAATTTATTACTGATTGGGATTTTACAAATAATATCATTTCTATCACTAATATTTTTAGTCGTTATAATACACAAAAACGAGAAATAATGTTATATGAAAATTCTACATTTAATCTGGACATAAAATTAGAACTAGACAACCATGAAAACCTGGAAGCACTGAATAGCCGTTTCGTCCTAGTATGGGACTCCTCAACAGTGCGCATCCACGATCCCGCAGTTACTCATTGAATACAGTGGTAGGCGGTGGCACAATATCGTGGAATGGTTGAAGTTAGACATTAACATCATTAGTTCCCGGCTCAGTGGTCTAGAGGCTAAGCGTCCGAGCGTGAGACCGGAGGGCCTGGGTTCGAGTCCCGCGTGCGGAATCGTAGATGCGCACTGCTGGAGGGTCCCATACTGGGACGAAACCACCGTCCAGTGCTTCCAGGTTTTCCATGGTCGTCTAGCTTTAATCGAATTGTGGATTCACCTATTAAATTCCTACAATCTCTACAAACTTCCGTTCTGATAAAATTAAAAGCTCACAATGGTAAACAGTTTCACATATGGTGGCAATGCATTTTCGACGGCTCTCAGCACTGTGACTATCAATAAACAAATTAAATAAGCCAAAAAGTCAACCTCAGAGATTGAAATATTTACATGAGTTTGTTGTTGAAATGTAAATAAAAAACAAATAAAGAACAAAGCAAAACATCCTGAAGGAAAATCATTAACATACAAACACACACAAACAAAATTGACTATTATACTTCACCTTAGTTGAAAGAATAGAGACTGTAGTGATTTGGATTACTCAATACTTACGAATAAACAGTATTGGTAAAAAGAATAAAGACAGAATGAATCTTTTATGAAAAAATTCAAGTTTACCTGTTGATTTTCCAAAGGCAACTTATTCCAACGTTCTACTAATTGACGAGCACGTCCTGACGACGGAAAAACATCACCATTTGCACTGGTTGGTCCTGTATGAGTGGAGTTAAAATAGATTCTATGTGGTGGCTACATGATTAACGCATGTGCACACACATTTTAAAGTGACCACAAATAAGAGTATTGAAAAAGAAAGCAAGAAGATAAATAATTTAAAAATAATCACCAGTGATAAAAAGTAAAACCCGCTGATTTATACAATATTCTTCACATTAACAGGAATATGATTTCGTCCGCCTAATTTCTTTAAGTGACAGATAAATATACTCATACATATTTACTGAGGGAGAGAAGAATCAGATTCAATCCATATCCTAAGTCTAATCTACCGATACTACTTAGTTGCCCAAAATCAAATGGATAGACAGGGATTCAAATCTGACATTTAGTGGCTGAGAATCGAACACCTTACCCACCGAGCAATCACTTTCAAATATAGTGGCTTTATAAACTTTACTGGCTGACAGAGTAATCTGTTGAATACATACATAATATTTTTACAATGAATGGAACGTTATGGAAACAATGAAATACGTAAAGGTTATAATAACAACTCAATGATGACCATGAAAGTCAGTCAGTCAGTTACAACGTAGAACTTCGTACGTACGTACATCAGTTCGAGTTGCCATACCACATTAGCACAGAGATGAAGTTGTCGATCCAAATCCCATATTGGTAGAAGTAGTAAGAGTATAAGTATTATGTGAAAGATAAGGGTTTGAAGATGTTATTCAAGGAGTATAATACGGTGAAATAAATTTGGAAAGAGAAAAAGGATACGGACATGAAGAATTCAGAAGATTAGAATTTGGTAGAACACAAAGAGTGTATGTACCTTCGCCATTACAAACGATTTTGAGCCATGTCATTTAAGGTCTCTAACCATCGGTTGCTGTCATCTCGCGAATCCCAACCAGGTAGTCTACACCTACCAACACGGCCCAGTCCACTTGTCAGCGACTTCATGGATTTATGCCATGTTTTGGTCTAGCCGCCCATAGCTTTATTCCAACCTGCTCCTACACCATAAAGCATTGCACGTCGGGGCAGTTGGTGGTTGGGCATACGTAACACATGTCCCAGCCATCTCAACTGAGGAAGTTTCAACACTTCATCAATCGATTTACCATTCTGACCTAGTACCTGTTTCCTAACAACTGCATTACTTACTCGGTGGTCTCAGGATATGAGAGCAATGCTTCGAAGACACCTATGATCGAATACTAGTAGCCTACGAATATCCTCTACTCTTACCAGCCATGTTTCACTGCCATAAAGTAGGACGGAACAGACTGCTGCACAATAAACCCGTCTTTTTGTTGATAGACGGATATCTCGCCTACGCCATAAATGACGCAAGTTGGCAAAAGCTAGACGAGCCTTCTGTATCCGTGCTGAGATTTTGTCACACACCAGACCACAAGGGCTGATGAGACTCCCAAGATAAGTGGAGCTGTCAACATGCTCAACTACTTCACTCCCTATCATCAGTTCAGGTGTCGATGCAACCCAATCCTGAAGTAACATTTTGCACTTCGAGGGAGAGAATCGCATCCCAAACATGCCTGCATTGTCGCTTATAGTGGTCAGAAAACTGTGCATTTTGTCAGCGTCTTCACCGAATAAAACTATGTCGTCGGCGTATTCTAAGTCAACAAGTGAATCTCCCGGTAAAAGTTCAACTCCTGGAGATAGAGATGATGAAAGTGATATCTCTAAAAGCATGTCAACGACAAAGTCAAACAAGAATGGGGAGAGTGAACAGCCCTGACGAACACCACTTGAGGTAACCAATTCTGACGACAGTTCACCATAGGCTCTAACTCGACCAGTTGTGTTCGAGTAGAGAGCCTTTATGAGGTTAATGTACTTCTTTGGTACTCCTTTCAGTGACAAACACTGCCACAGAACTTCACGATCAACGGAGTCAAATGCCGCCTTAAGGTCGAGGAATACTACTATTGTGGGACGTCTGAATGTGTGTCTATGTTCTAGAACCTGACGTAGAGTGAATATCTGGTCTATGCAACCACGTCCAGGTCGAAAACCAGCCTGGTTTACTCTAGTCTGCTCTTCACGAGCTTTGGTTAGGCGCCTAAGTATTATTGAAGCTAATATTTTAGACACTATATTAGTCAAACTGATTCCTCTGTGATTTTCACAAGAGAACTTTTGCCCTTTCTTATAAACTCTCACTATCAGTGATTGAGACCAGTCAGATGGAATTACGTCTAGTTCCCAGATTCTACCTAAGACCTTAGTCAATCTCGTTGCTAGTACTGGACCACCATCCTTAAAAATCTCAAGAGTAAACCTGTCAGGGCCTGCTGCTCTCCCTCGCTTTAAATTTCCTATAGCTTTTTCAACCTCGTAGAGAGTTGGAGGACTTACCTCAATTTGCCATTCAGGGCGACTGGGGATCGTGGGTAACTGAAGTGTGGCTGAAGGCCAGTTGAACTGATCCCTAAAGTGTTCTGCCCAACGATCCAATCTCCTGGATTGAGAATGAATGACATGCCCATCTTTGTCTGAGATAGTTTCGCTAATAGTTGGGTTCCTAATGCCGGTTTCTTTAACAAGTCTGAATAGCTGTCTGCTGTTACCTATTGCCGCTGCCTTTTCCATCTCTCTTGCTTTCGCTACCCACCACTGTTCACGACCATTGCGTAGGCTTCTTATTAGCCTTCGCTTAAGTTGACTCCGCTCTTCGTTATGTTCAGAGCCAGGTGGAATGAGTTTTCGAGCATCTATCAGTGCAGTAGATGCTACCGAGATCCATTGTTTCTCCCTCACCTTATGGCTTACCTTACTAGTGGATATCACTGCTGTTTTCACAGCTTTACGGATGTCATCCCACGCTGCTTTGGGGTGGGCACAACTTACATGTCTGTCTAACTGTTTTTCCAGTTGTTCCTGAAATATATTTTTAGCTTGCTTATCATTAAGTAGAAGTGGTTAGAGGATAATAAAGGCTGATTACGGTTTATTTTATACAAAATAATAAAAAGGAAAAACAAAACCGAAATATATTGGAGAGTGTGATTTGGGTCAAAGAAGGACGAGAAGTTGGATGCATCATTTTTGGACTCAGAATTCAGTCTTGGATCGGTGAAATGCCAGCGCCTCAGTAGTGCGCAAGCATTTTGACTCAACCGCTCTTTGACCAAATTCCCTTAATTATATAAATTACTTTAAAGGACAACTCCAGATGCTCCTGTATTAAGCTAGTGATGGCTTCGCATTCCCCTTTTATACGCCGTGCACTGCTCAAGTGTTGGCGATTCACCGAGTCTAGACCAAACTCTGAGTCCAAAAACGATACGTCCAACCTCTCATCCTTTGATTCAAATTACACTCTCCAATATGTTTTGTTTTTGTTTTTCATTATTATCATTTTGTATTATTTAAATCGTAATTAGCTATTATTATTATTACTATTAGTAGTAGTAGTATACTATAACAATTTTTCATGACTATCATTGAACGGTTATTGTGACTTTTACGTTTTCCACTTTTCTTCATTTAGTTCTGATGGATAATTATCTCTCATATTTCTGACCCGTAAATTAGTCTTCACCCCCCCCCTATTTGTCACGAAGTCCATGATCGTTACATAACCACTTATTGATATTTGAAATCTTGGATCACTCAATGGTGCAATCCCTTCTATTTTTCTACCGACACTTTTATCAAACAACTATGAATACTGATGTACAGCTTAAGTAAGGAATTTCGTTGAAAAAAGAATCTCCTTCGTTGAATTCTCCTTACTTTTATTCATCAGCTAGGTCAAGAAACTATTCCTAATATTAGCTATACACACTCCTCCTATCTCACTCTCCACCCACTTTTAATTACAAGTACTTATCTAATATAATTTAGCATACATGACAAATAATATTGTGATAGTCATACCATGGAATTAGAAGCCTGCAAAGTATTTTACAATTTTCTGAAAAACAAACATATTAACTGACTGTGTAATTATGTGAATATAATGTATTCTGTTTAGTAACTAGGTATAACATAATCTAAAGTTTAAACTTTGCTCAATTTATCTTGCAAGAAATAATTTCTCATATTACTAGTAACATCCAGTTAAAAGATGTTCAAGCAGACGACAATCATATCTCAGTGAAAACTTAATGTATTTTTAGAATCATTTGAAGGACAAGTTTTTAGAATTTGGCATTTTCCTTATGGCCCTACAGTTTTCCTCCGTAATGTAATGCATTGTTTTTTATTTTACTTTTACACTGATATAACGGATGGTTTAAAATATTTTTCGTCTCTCTCAGGTATACTTCGACAATACGCTAGTATGATAATGAGACTAGTCTTATTGATCAGATCCAGGATTCGCAACTCAGAATATGGAACCAGATTAACATCAGATAGTGCTTTATTCAAAACAGTTACAAGCAGTCACACTCGAGGAGTCCGCAGTAGGAATCAATGGGAGGGAAGTGAATTACATATTTAATGGTCAGTACCTGTTTGTCCATACTCAGTGACCAATCACGTTTTACTTCCACTACCACATAAAAACACTTCTAAACTACAATTGTGTTGACAGTATTAAACAGGGACTTTATCTAAGAATTTAATGTCATTTTCTAACACTATTTGCTGAACTTCGTGTTTTAATTGCAATGTTTAAATGGGAATCATATTAGTCAGTCTATTGTGAATATAGAGCTTGTCTGGCATAAATTAGCGCTAGTCAAAGTTGTCAATCACATGAAAACGAGACAATTACCTTGTATCATCTCTGAAAGAGTCAATCAAACTGGAGGAAAATGAAAAAGATATTTATTCCCACCTTTTTTAAATTCCAAACAAGAGCAAATTTAATCACCTCTAACTAACTAGATTAGTATTTTTATAATGAATAACCAATGATTTTTAATAGTGTTTTAATAATCCTTAAAATAATTATGGATTTTTCTAAGAACTTGAGAAAAATAAGGGAAAGACATTGCTTTAAACTATTGAAACTTGACAAAAAAAACGCAGAAAACTGATCGAATCCCATCAACATTAAGCACTAGACAACATGAATGGAATGGTGACAGATTAGAATAAACATTTCAATCATATACACAGGAAATCACTAGTAGGATAAATGGTTTAGTGATAATGTCTGTTATTGTGAAAACTGAGGTTGTATGCTCGAATGTCTGAAGAAGCACCAATTAACTCAAGATTGCATAAATGCCTTGGTGGTCAGTTACACGCAACGTAGAAGCAAGGACATATGTACATCGGTTCGAATTCCCATATCCTAACTAACACAGCCTTGGTAATAAGTATAAGGCAGCACAAAATCTACGTACAGAGCTTGTTAACAAGTATATTCAATCAAATACTACTAGACATAATTCATCAGCATATCGAGTTAATTAGCCTAATAATGATATTTGAAACATGACTGAACATCGATAAGCACCAAGAACCAAGCGATGTGATATTGGCAACTCCTCAGCCAACTACTACTACACAGCTAGACTCATTGTTAAAAAGTTCAATTCATAAATGATTCCATCTCGACCGTTGCTGCTCTACCTTGGCGTGGTGGTCGGGCTTGCCCATCGTGATCAACCAATCGAGCTATACTGGCTGAAAAAATCGTTCCCCAAAGTCCTACCATGCCAGGCAAGTAGGCTGAAGAGCGGTAAGACTAAAAGCAGCAATCCCAAGGTTCGAAGGCGAAGACGTACTGCGGACCGTACAGAGCTGTGACAGTAGTGAGGTGTTTCCTTCAGACAACCAGCATAACAGCGATGCTACCTTCCCACAAGGAGGGGTGGGGTTAGAAAAGGTCGACCCATAAAAATGCACACCTCGCCTTATACCACGGATATCCGTCTCCGGCGGTAAGGTCCCAACAAGTACGGAGCTAACACGAAGGCTACTCACAAAAAGGTCGTGCGTGACCGACCTCAAGCAGTTGTCCTTGGGCACTGGGGTCACGCTCTCAGGTCACTAAGACCACCTATAATCCAATATCCAGAAGAACTCTTCCACGGTGTTGGCAACTGGGAAGTGATAACCGCCTTCAAACCTTTAACAACACTCAACATCGCTGTATTCATAATAAATATCTCTCTCCAATTCCTACTATTCTTCCTACCTCGACTTTCAACTCTAAACTTCCTCTTTTTACTTCTAGTTAGCGAAACACTGTGTTGGCCTACTGAAACCTGGATTTAAAATACACATTGGAGCCTTCAAATTACTCACACTGTGCCAAATCGGCCAACATGCCTCCTTGGGTAAAACCATAGAATCTCGTACCGTCGATGTATGCTGGGTCTCCGAAACACGCATAAAGGATCCTAGTGTGGTCATTCACTTGACCTCAGCTCGCCAAAACAGAGAGTCAACGAGATACACCCTCCGAGTATCTGATTGCCCAACGGCTAATTCTCGTGAACTAGCAGTTGTAGGCATAGCACTTAGTACGAGAGCAAAACAAGCACTATTGCACCATGAGGTGCAATGCTTGACTAGTGTTGGAGACGGTTGGAAGAAAGTTGGGGGTGGCCAAACCAAAAGGCGGCATCAGTGCTTGTATTCACCGACTCCTAGTCTGAGCCATGTTAGTAGATGTAGACTACTTGGTTGGAGTCCGCGTGACTATCGTAACCAATGATTGGAGACTCTGGGTGACATGTCTCAGAATCGACCACAATGGCGTAGAGGTGTATACACTATTTGTCTCCCCTTAAGCCGTGGGATTAAAATTCCTTTATAGCTTTCTTTCTACAAACTAAATCTGTCTCCTTGCATTATATCCTTATATGTAATATTTCTTTTATATATTATTACCATTGAAGTAACTACTTCTATGGATTTGGTGTTCATCTTGTTGTGCTAATGAGGTATGGCAACTTGAACCGATGCATATGTGCCTGGTCCTACGTTGAACAAGACTGACTGACCAGCCAAATAATCAGAAATGAATATTGAAAAACCTGGAAAATTAATAAATATCTCTCGGGGAAGAAGCATTGTCTCCATCATGTGAAAATCATATAATTTAGTTCGCAAGTTAGCAACTAGTATAAGCTTGTGGAGTTGACTTTATGTACACTTCTACCGAAAATCAGGGAGCATAGTATGGGACTGCTTAGAAGTGCATACTCACGAACCTATCGGGGATCAAACGCAGGATTTTAGGACTTGTTAGAGGAATATAGATTGGATTAAAACATGTTCCGTACAGGATAATCTTGGGGCACGCTGGTTGGCTATTTCTTAACCAATCAGCTCTAGCAAATACTTGGGAAAGACTCTAGAATCTTCTTGTGTAAAATTATAAATATACAAACGTTTGTTTTATTCTGATTTCTACTTCCATTCAATCTTGTTTATTTGGAATATAACTGCGTTTTTGTTAAATCGTGTTCTGATTCGGGGAAATTTCGAGTGCAACAGTGTCCAAAGAATACTAAGCGATAAGAGTAGCTGTGTCGTAATAAGAGAGGTCATAACAAGATTACTGAGCTTGAATCCAACAACTGACATTTAAAATTTTAGAAATCTTTAAATGTACGATCAGATTAACACACACGAGTCATTAAAGAATTCAGCCTAATCATATATGTATAATTTTATTAAATGAGGCAAATTCACTTGATTCTGTGGTAGAGAATTTTGTATACTAGTTGTATTATTTCCAGATTCTAATTCTTGAAATTTGGCTACTAATGTTTGAGTTACATTTGATGTTGACCGTTCGATCCTGGAAACTTCTTGCTGAACTGTTAAACAATAAAGGAGATTAAATTAAAGGAAAGAAGAATTAGGAAGAAATGACAACCAACATGAATATTATAGCACGAAATATCTTAAGCATAACGATAAGAAGCAATGAAATAATTGCGTTAATAAAAAAAACGAAAGTGGGAAAAAATCAATGAGATTTGTTGAGTGAATTGGGGGGATCTGTGGAATGTAATGAAGAAAGATTTCATCTTACACACTGATATCACATTAGACTGATCACCACAATCCACTATTTTACATAACACTCAAATGATCACTAATAACTAACTTCGACATAGATTACTGAAGTTCCAATGATGATTGATCATATGGAGTATGGAACAATCATCAATGATTACACTAGATGAAGACCACGTGAATTAACTAAGAAATATGAAAAAACTCGTTTGCAACTCTGTACTCTATAGGTCTATAGGTTATACGTTCGATACCTGGTAAGGTCATAAGTGATCACTATTGAGGAGACCACAACTACAATGAAGTAACTGTTTTTAGTCCTCGCTGGTTTTCGATATTTCCTCAGTTGATATCGGTGGGTGATGAACACTATCTTTCCATGCATTATAAGTAGATCATTTATATACGAAAAGTTGTACGAAATGAAGAAAAGAAAATGGAATTATTTGTAAATACAAATGAGAAGAAACGAAAGACACTCTTTTTTGGTAAGGTACAATCATAATGTAAAGTGAGACAAATTCGTGTGGTAAAACAAAGATGTAAATATATTTTGAACTAAATTTAGAATAACAAAATATTACAGTAATGAAATCACTTAAACCTAATCATAAACTTACACATTTTAGCTGATAGAGACGGTTGTCAATTGTAAGAATAATATAGACTTATTCACAATAATTGTCTTAAATAACTTAGTGAATTTATTGGACTAGATATGAAATCAACTAAAACTTGGATTGTTCGATGAACGAGTTGTCTTATATTAATAAAGCATAGTGTTTCAGTTTTTTTATTCAACAGTTTGAATAAGAAAATATCTTCAATCATTTGATATGAAAATCATATGGATTGGACAGGTAAAATGTTAATAGTTACGATACACATTTGAATAATGTTCGGTATCCAGACAACATTATTAAAACATGCTTTTACGGTATACTTTTATCATGTCAAAGAGAATTTGAGAAAGATTGAACCTTCTTGTATTTATTTTAATATTCTGCTATTTGTTAGCACTTGTTTGACACATAAGCCGTTGTAATAACTCTTACTGTTCCAGATTTATTATTTATTAATTATTTACGAATTGCTCCGCCTTTGTGCCCATTATGACTGAATATTGTGCATACATAGTAATTTCTGGTTTGTGTTGCTCTATGGTCAGGTTACCTGAGGTATATTATTTTATGAGTTATGAGTCGTGAATGTACAGAGTAAAGTAGTGAATTAATGTGTTTGCTATATACATCTGATTGAAAACCGATGGACCAATAAGCATTAAGATTCCCCGTTCATTATTCAGGGTCACTAAGACATTAAATATAAAGGTCACTGGTCCTACAGATAATATAGAGAAATAAACTAACAACCAGAATAGATAATAAGGCTGTTCTCGCAATAAACGGCTTGATTACACTGTCCCAAATACGATGCAAGAATCTGCCATTTTTGAAGCATATAACTAGCCAAACCAACGTTTGAAGGTGTATCACGCATACCCGAAAGTCGCATATTTTCATGTGCTATGATGCTGACTGATGTATGTGAAAGAAGATAAGATAGGAAAAAGGTACTACATGCGAGTATATCTTATCAGTCAGTTGGAATTATTGACTTGGACTGTGAAGAAATGAAGATGTTTTCTCGTAGCTTCATCAAATAGCGGATATTTTTAAACACTGAAGGTGTAAGTCATGTTTATTCTCTTCAGGTGTCTTCCTATTCTATTGGGTGTATTAATTTGGTAATTTCACGTCATTAATGATCAAAATATCAACATTAGTATGTTTTACCAACATTTTGTGATTAAAGATGATAACAAATTACACTGAAGTATTGTTAACTGTATAGTTTGTATGGTAAAATGCTTGTTATTGAGGTGTTACTTACTCAGAATAAACTGTTTCATTTAACAATGTCATTAAACACTTTTATTGTTTATAAACCCCCAACTGACGTTTAACTAAATAAAACTTATTGCTATCCTGGATAATTCAACTAAAAATCTATACCAAAAGAGAGAGAGAGAAATACCCGAAAATAATATAGATCAAACGAGTTTACTAGTATATGAAATTAGTAGGAGGTAAGATCGGTTTACTGTCTACAGTTTGCAACTAAATTTATTGTAAACACCTTAAATAACACGTTGTAATACATATTATTTAACATGAGTAGTAAGAGGGAGGTAAAAGACACATACTTGAAAACAAACAGACAAAACCAAATAGAGAAGCGAAAGAAAAAAATCACTGACAACACATTATGTGTACTCAGTCATTTTCAAATTATCTTTATTTAGTACGTATAAATGCCAAGGTTAGATTTTATAGTTTCAAATAAATTATTATCTTTATTAACCAGTTATTGACAATAAACTACAAAAGATTTGCTACATTTCACTAATTAAATTTACTAGTATTGTAGTGAACAGGAACACGAGTGGGGAAAATCGAATGCGTTTAAGCACAAAATTACAGAATATCTCACTAAAATCTGACAACCATACAGTAAACAGTTAATTTACAAACTACCAAACATTTATCTCAATCTTGAACGGTTCTTCTGCAAATATCAGTCCATCGTCTCGGATTACATTGATCATGCATTTTCATACCGATTGCGTTCCGTTCCCGTTCTTTCCTTATTCATCTTATGCTGAAATACATTCTATGCTTGACCATCATCACATACTACTTATGTGGATGTAAGTAACCCACACCATAGTATGGCAAAGTAATAGTTTAACAATTACTATTTTGGATGGAGATAATGTTTCTTCCCCGAGAGATATTTATTAATTTTCCAGGTTTTTCAATATTCATTTCTGATTATTTGGCTGGTCAGTCAGTCTTGTTCAACGTAGGACCAGGCACATATGCATCGGTTCAAGTTGCCATACCTCATTAGCACAACAAGATGAACACCAAATCCATAGAAGTAGTTACTTCAATGGTAATAATATATAAAAGAAATATTACATATAAGGATATAATGCAAGGAGACAGATTTAGTTTGTAGAAAGAAAGCTATAAAAAAATTTTAATCCCACGGCTTAAGGGGAGACAAATAGTGTATACACCTCTACGCCATTGTGGTCGATTCTGAGACATGTCACCCAGAGTCTCCAATCATTGGTTACGATAGTCACGCGGACTCCAACCAAGTAGTCTACATCTACTAACATGGCTCAGACTAGGAGTCGGTGAATACAAGCACTGATGCCGCCTTTTGGTTTGGCCACCCCCAACTTTCTTCCAACCGTCTCCAACACTAGTCAAGCATTGCACCTCATAGTAATCGGTAGTTGGGCAGGCGTAATACGTGACCGAACTGTCGCAGTCGATGAAGATTCACAACGTGCGTCTAACCTCACTATGACTTACCCAGTGATCCCCAGCAGGTGCGAGCAATATTTCTGAAACATCTGGGATGAAATACTAGTAACCTACGAGTATCTTCTACTCCTAATGGCCACGTTTCGCAGCTGTGAAGTAAAACAGGACGAACTGCTGAGCAGTATACTCATCCTTTAATTGGTAGATGGATATCCCACCTTCATCATAGGTGACTTAAGTTAGCGAAAACCAAACGAGCTTTTTGAATCCGTTTAGGGATTTCGTTATAAATTAAGACATTAGGGCCGATCAGACTTCTAAGATCAGTGAAGTTGTCGACGCGTTTGACTATTTCACTCCCTATCCTTAGTTCAGGTGTTGACGCAGGCCTGTCCTAAAGCAATCATTTGCATTAGTATGATTACTGTAATAAATATTAGAATGAATATGTAGATTACATCTGAAACATTATTTAGTTGGGAAACAATGTTGATATACAGTTTGTAACAAGTAGAATAATATGCAACTACATGATGATTACGTACATATTTCATCAATAAAACGGGTAAACCTATAAGAGAACAGTTGATATAATTGTGTCCTAGTATTTTACACCTAATGCATAGCAAAGTATGATGTATAAAACTAGTACAGAATTAATAAGTATCGAGTACTGAAATTTAACTCAATAAAAAAAATATCATGGTAAGGATGACATACAATAAACAATCACAAGGTATATCGAGGCAATACGCACAGTATGCACATATGCCAATTAGAGACTGACCAGTTGCAGTCCTAAACACATCGATGGGAAGATCCAAACAAACAATACTAAGTGAATTCAAACTTCACCCCATCGCAAAAGCAAGTGGCTATCAGGACTCAGTGGCCGAGTGGATAACGTGATGGCGTTTGGAGCGAGGGTACTGGGTTCGAGTCCCAGAGTGAACATCAACTCTGAGATGCAGGTACATCCAGCTGACGAGTCCCAAATAGGACGAAACGCGCGTCCTGGATTCCACTGCTAGCCACTATCCATCTCTGCTTAATCACACTCATCATTTATTACACTGAAAAAATAATAATATGCCATTGACGAAAATACATCAGTAGGTATTACTGCATTGTTATATCGGGAGTTTTAATCACTTGATTTTTACACTGAATGATCACTGAGTAGCTGTCAATCAATATATCTCAGTTATATAAGAGGTCATTCGCCGCCTGAACAGCTTGACGGTATAGTCTCAGACTGTAACCTGAGGTTAGGGTTCACTTTGGAAAACCAGCGCTCAGAAGACTGCAGATATGTTTGTCTTACTGACGAATGCCAACGAGTATGAGACCTACGTCCAGGATATCCACACAACTACTTTCGACCACCTAACATCAAACACTTGACTTACCTTGGATAAAAATTTAAAATATTACCACACTACCTACATCACATGCGG